TGTTCTCTGATTGGTCCAGGTAAAATAAATAACTAGCAGACACTGCGCAGAAAGTCGACGTCATTCAAAACTCCTCCTTCTGTTCTCTGATTGGTCCAGGTAAAATAAATAACTAGCAGACACTGCGCAGAAAGTCGACGTCATTCAAAACTCCTCCTTCTGTTCTCTGATTGGTCCAGGTAAAATAAACTACAAGCAGACACTGCGCAGAAAATTGACGTTCTGTTCTCTGATTGGCCCGGCTAAAAATCTGCCAGCGAAATCCATCTCAATGGGAGAAGTCCCAGACGGAACAGTGAAGGGAAACTAGAATTGAGCGGAGCTGCGTTGGAAGGCAAGGGCCAGGCTAGTAAAGATTAGACCCTTCAGTAAAACTAAAGCTTCTTCTTTGGGTCTGATCTCTGTGATTCAGCTGCTTTTATTGATGTTCTGAGATATGAACCAGTGAAAAAAGGTCATTTTTATCGTTTGTGGGTCCAAGCTGAAGCTGTGTCGTCTCAGATARGAGATAAACGTTGAAGACGGTTTGCTGCTGTAAATCCTCATCTTTACAGTTTTCTGGTTCAGATCGTCCCGTTCCATCCGTCTGTGGTTTTTGTCCCGTTGATTGAAGATTCAAAAGTGTTGTGTTTTTGTTTCCAAAAGAAATTATGCTGAGGTGCAAATTGTTACTCAACCTCCTTGATTATTTGCTTAATTGACTGTTTAGATATTGACCAAAAGGCAAAGTGTAAGTTTGATTTTAAGGATTTAGAAAGTGATTTTTCTATCAGCATGTTTTGAAAGGCTGCCTTTAATCAGCTGCAGATCAATATTCAGCATGTGAGAGGGTTATCTCGTTACACAAGTCATACGTTGACATGACAGCTGCACGTCTCAGCAGGCATGTAGCTGTATTATTTTTACAGAGGATGGCAAATGTAAACGGTAAAGTGTATTAGATATAAATTTATAAATATTAGAATCAAAAGTAAAGAGGTAGAGATTTGTATTCATAATATACAGTATATCAGTGTGGTCCATTTCCCCCTAAAACACAAGGGTTAAAACAGAACAAAGCCATATCAGCAGCCACACAATTATATTTAGCTAAACATGCTAGCTTGATTCATAAATTACAACTGATACCATTACCAAGTTACAAGCTAATTTAAGCTAATTTATTAGCAAAAACAGCTGCTTGGTTGGAAATAGAGCGGAGTTGTAGCCAATCAGCTATTTTTTAAATGTATAAATTGCAAAAGCTTTGCTAACAGTTTACTCAGCTACATGTTAGGCACATTAAACAGAGCCTGCATTCATTCTCTTCTTTTTTAAAACAAAGACAAACTCATGAGCTGCTTTTTGTGTTTTTAAATTCTACAAACATCGTCCAATTAAAGCCTACTAAACCTTCAGATATGCTTTTTTTGGTTTTTTGGTTTTTTCAGGTGGATTTTGCCAAAGTCCTCCACTACGTTGGAGCAGGAGTGGCCTTCCCATCCAGCATGCTGTTTGTGTGTCTTCAGTCGGCTCTGACCTACAGGCTGGCCAAAACCCAGGAGGAATACCGGGTCGGTCACTTCCGAGTGGGGATGGCGCTGTTAGCTCTGGTCGCTCTGGTGCTCAGTATCCTTTAAACTTGGATCTGTAATGTTTCTCTATAAATCTTACAGTCTGAAAACACGTTTTTCTTTCTAATATAAACATAGTTATTTTAGCTCCTATAGAGCCTGACCCAAAACTTGAGTCTCTAAGATGAAGTTTGGTCTTCTCAAAAACTCACTGTCTAAAATAAAATTAAATAAGTTTAYTTAACTGTTTACAAAATCGTGGAAATTAATGTGTGAATGCACTACAGCTAAGTCAAAAAGTGTTAATCCAATTAGAATTACTGACCAAAAAAAGTGCATGCTATTTTTTAGCATGTCTAAGCTAATTATTCAATTTTATTTAGAAATAAAAACAGTTCATGTTTACAACCAAGCAGCTGTATTTTGTTAAACATGCTAGCACAATAGAGAATGGGAAAGTAACGTCACGACGCATTGCGTGCTGTGTAACGGCCGCCATGTTATTTGGGACAATTGTTTTCAAAACACAATGGACCGCAATAAACTGAACAAAGATGTTAAACAGCGCTACTGCAAAACAATCAAAGCTGTTGGGCTTGATCTGTATGAACACCGTAAGTGGACGGGCGATCTTGAGGAGCTAYCACAGCTAACATTTCCTGACATTGTTAGTTAACTTGTTTGTGGAGTGAGTGCCTAAACATGTGAGCAGTTCCGAAATTATAGATCTCTGGAAGCACATCAACAGTTCACAAACAGATAGGTGCAGGATTTGCAGATTTTTAGAGTCAACGACCACAAAACTGTTGTTCTCACAAAGGTAGCTTAACTCCCTGAGCACACAAGCAAAGAAACTGCAAAATGTCTTGTCATTTCATTCTTGCAGGCAAAAACACAACAACAGTTACATGTTCTCTCTGGCAGTTAGTTTCAAATATTAATATGCTATAATGCAAGCCTAACTAACAAAAGATATTCTACTTGTTAGTATGCCAGCAGCTAAGTATGCTAGGTTATTTAGCAGAATAARGCTGCTTAGTTTTTATCTAAAGAGTCCATGTCAACAGCCAGGCAGATGTATTTTGTTAAACATGTTAGCACAATTAGCAAAATACATGCTAACATTAGCATTTTAGCACCTCATTCTGCTAACTTGTTTAACAAAATATATCTGCATGGCTGTTCACGGATCAGAATTAGCTATATCGCTGTATTTTGCTAAAATTGCTAGGCTAAATAACAAAAAACAAGCCAATTGTTAGCATGTTATTATGCTAGGTTATGTATCAGAATAAAGCTGCTTAGTTATCTAAAGAGTCCAYGTCAACAGCCAGGCAGCTGTATTTTGTTTAACATGTTAGCACAATTAGCAAAACACTTGTTAACCATTAGCATTTTAGCAACTCATTCTGCTAATTTGTTTAACAAAATATATCTGCATGGCTGTTCATGGATCAGAATTAGCTATATCGCTGTATTTTGCTAAAATTGCTAGGCTAAATAACAAAAAATATGCTAATTGTTAGCATGTTAGCAGGTTATTATGCTAGGTTATTTAACAGAGAGAAAGAAGCGGGTAAAAAAAAGAATGATAGATGCTAAATGTTAGCGTGTTAGCAAATGTTAAGGTGTTTTAGCAGCTGTAAATGTTTGTGAATATCAAACCCAACAGATTTGTAGCATGTTTTTTCAGTTTATCGTCTACCTTTATGTTTATCTTTGGTAGAAATCTTAAGATGAGTGTCTTCTCTTGAATAGTCAACATCACCAGTACCTCACTTTATGAACTGAAGCTTTAAAATTGATTCAACGAATCATTTATTGTTGTCACTGTCCCTCTGCACGGCTGTTTTTCTCTTTAACCTCGGCTCACCAGGTGGAGTGTTTTTCTGCCAGGAGAGCTTCGCCCTGCAGCACACCTCCGCCATCTTCGAGTGGGTCTACTGCATGATCATCATGCTGTTTTACGGGACGTTTGCCTTTGAGTTTGGGGACATGTCGGCGGATACCCTGATGGTGCTCTCCAGAGGAGGAGGAGGAGTGCACGGCTTCTCCCCTCCTGCACACAAGACAGACGCTGGTGGAGTGGCCAGAGAATTTATTGATCCTGTAGATGAACAAAACTGCTGCTGCTCCGCTGGAGGTCACAGGGAAACGTGAAGACCCTAAGGTGGAGGGCAGATTCTGTAAAGACACACAAACTTCTACCCTGCGTGTAAAACTGCAGATTGTTGCACAACATCACACGTGCCTTCACCGAGAGGAGCTAGCTCCATGTTTGTTTTAGTTCTCCTTATGCAACGGTCGCCCTCTGGATGCTCGGCTGGAGTCGCCTTTCATCCGTCCTGGAAATGCCTCAGAAGTCGCTCCGTGCTGTGACGGGTTCGTCGGGGTTTAGACGCTCGGATTGTTTCAACTCAGGAAGATTTGTTACATCACATCTGCTTTCACCCGTTCTGTCAGCACTGAGCTTCTCAGTGACAATAGGAGTACGTTGCCGTATGCCAAGAATAATTTTCTTTCATCTGAAGTATTTTTTTTAAATAGTAATCACTTGCAAGACTTTTAGTATTTGAGTATTTGTATGTTCACTCCCCTCCAACAGGAAGAAAACTTTCATTTTGCTGTTGACTGAAAACATTTGGGTTTGACATCTGCCATGTATTGAATCAGATCCTGTTCTGAGAGCTGCTCCTCCACATCCAGAGGAACCAGCTGAGGGGTTCATCTGTAAAGATGACCCTTGGACACCTCCGTAGAGAGGTGTTCTGGACATGTCCATCTGCAGGAAGACTCAGAGGAAGACCCAGGACACGATGGATGGATGGATGGATGGATGGATGGATGGATGGATGGATGGATGGATGTTAGATGGATGGATGAATAAATAAATGATGCATGGATGATGGATGGATGGATGTTGGATGGACGGATGAATAAATGACGGTTGGATGGATGGATGGATGAATAAATGATGATGGATGGATGGATGGATGGATGGATGGATGGATGGATGGATGGGTTAATGAATGGATTGATGGATGTTGGATGGATGGATGTTGGATGGATGGATGGGTTAATGAATGGATGGATGGATGGATGAATAAATAAATGATGCATGGATGGATGGATGGATGGATGGATGGGTTAATGAATGGATTGATGGATGTTGGATGGATGGATGTTGG